CCCCAAAACCCCAAAACCCCAAAACCCCGTTATACAAATTTGTTAAAAATTATAGCATTTGCAAAAAAATTGAAATTAATTTTATATACAAATATCAAAATGAAAAATAATCTTCAAAATAGCAGGCTTAGACTTAACACTTCTCAATCTAATTTCAATAATATCTCAACTCTGCCTTTAGTAAAGACACCTTAAGCTTAGCTATAATGAAATAAGAATGAAGTTAATTTATTAGCATCAAGCAAAGTAGATAGTCAAGGGATCACAATAAAAGTTTCTGGAGATCATAAACGAAATACTTCTTCAGCGACCTAATTGCAAATATCATAGCATTAGGTGAGTGCAGGTCAACTTTTAGTTAATGCTGGTGGAACTACAGGCTCATTTATATCAACTTCTCAATTCCTACAAAATGAAAAGGAAGAATAAAAGAAATTCTAGGATCAAAGGAAGTAACTTAGTGATCAAGCATTATTTAAAAATGTATCATCAGCTGGAAGTCTACCCAAATCTTAGTTTTTAAATACTTTCTATAATGGAGTTCCTAGTTCAAATTCAAAGCCTACTACATCTGGTTCACATGGACTGCTACCTGGTGGTTAAGCAAATTTTCTTAAAGCATACTCGAATAAGGTTAGATGGATACCTCCTCAAACAGCTGGTCCACATATCGAGTCTTACTCTAGCGTAACGAACCTTGGAAACCTGAGAGAGAAAAGTATCAATGAAACGATCTCTAAAGTGAGATAATTTCAAATTTCTGAGCATAGTTTGAGAGACAACTATTACTATTTAGATAATATAAATGAGTTGATAGACTAAAAACTTTAGTCTTCAGTTGAAAGAGAGCAAGTTTACCAGCAAAAGTTTGATGACAAATTTGTAAAGATTTAGGGTAAAGTTGGGTAATCACTTCTATCTAAAATAAAAAGCTAAGGTACAGGTGTAAATTCTACATCTTTATTGTCATTTGCAGATACACCTGATGTTAGCATTTCACCAAATAGTAAAATAGTCTTGGTAGAGCAATAGACTTTCTCAAATGGAGAGGATAATAATGGCAGCTAGTAAAAGATAATGATCTAGGACAATAGTAGTCAAATTAAAAACAACAGAACAGTTTAAAAGAAAAATCTCTTTTATAGCACCCAACGACTAAAAGAGACCTAATATAGGACAACAAGCAACCTTAAGTAATTGATGAAATCACCGACTGAATTCAAATTGCATGCAATGAAAAATACGAAGAAACCATCGGCAAGGGATACTTTATAGAGGAGTGATCTTGCTTCAGATTTACTAAGCGAAGATAGGGTTAAATAGCATCAATAACACTTGAGTCAATTTTATGGAAGAGATATAAGTTACAAAGATGATTAAAAACAGAATTAAAATACCTTAGTGGCTCAGTAAAGTTCTATAGAAAATACTGATTTAAGTCAAAGGTAGTAGGAGCAGCAATAAATTACTAATCATTAATTAACCAACATAAAAAACTATCCACAAACATTAGAGAAGCTCAAAGAGATGACTGAAAATTTAGACTAGCACTCTTCTATGCTCCTTAACAAAAATAACATTTCTAAAGTGCCTGAAAGTTTTTATCATACATAATCTGGATTCAATAAGAATGATGAATAGTCTAAAGAGAAGTCAAAGGGAACAAGCAATGTTGTACTAGAGAAGCATAGTGATTATTAGCAGTTGCTTGCTCATCTATAAGAGGACCTTAAGATCTAAAAAATTACAGAAGAAGCAAAGTAAGCATACAGAAAAAGGGAATAGGAATTATTGCTTAGTCTAGAAAAGCTTAATCTGTCTTCAAGAGTGGATACTATTGCTCTCTAGGATTGGCTTAATAAAATGTTAACTGAGATTAGATAGAGCGATTTAAATATTCATGAGCTGTAAAAGTTTGAACTAACACAGCTAATTTATAACATGACGTTCATTGAACTAAGCAAATAGGTATCAGTACATTGTAATGAAAGGGGTTCTTTGCTTAATAATATTTGGAATGCTTTCATAGATCTAATGAATTCTTAGTTAAGACATATTAAGGGTGAAAAAAATATTCTAATGAGAGAGACTGTTACTTGTATGGAAAAATTTCATAACTACTATGAGAATTAGATGACAGACTACAGGGAAGGGACTCTTAAAATGTTCAAGGATAGTTAAAACTACAAGAGGAGTTATGATAGACTTTCCAAAGATTTCCAGTAACTAACTAAAAAGACTGCAAAGATAGGCCAGCAACTATAAGAGTTGACAACTATGTACAAACAAAAATGTTCAAGAGTAGACTTCTTAGAGAAGACAAATAATAATCTGTAGAGTATCATTGGTACACTATAAGAAGAAAGCGAAGAAGAAGATCCAAATATGATAGAGGATAACTATTTCAAAAAAGAAAAGAAGAAGCCAAAGATTAAGGTAGAGATGATAGAAGATTTCAAGGAGAGATCTCGAAAGAAATCTGAGTCTGAATTAGGCTATCTGCAATCTCTTGATATATAGAACCAGTTCAATTTTATCAATGAAGTAGGCAATGATGTTGGTGATTTCTTATTCGACTCCGATGCAAAGAGGGACAAGGAGCAAGATGCACTAAAGAATGCTGATAACTTTGCAGCAGCACTTCGAGGTGAATTCTTCAAAGATCTTTCTATTCAAGTTAGAGGTATCTTGCCAACTTTCAATCTTAAACTTGATATTGAAGTGCCATTTGAAAAAACAAAAACAATAAAGCAGATTTAGGATGAAAATTAAGATAATGATGAGAAAGATGATTTTTATGAGTATCTTGCTGAATGCTAGTATATCAAGCACACTGATATGCAAGTAGGTGATGATTTAATAGGAAGAGCAGAGATAGATACGTGGATTAACGAGGACATATTTTTTAAGGACACAGGAGTTAATTTAAGGTTAGAGGATCAATAAATGTTTTTGGAGAGAATATAATTCTTAGAAAACGAACTAAGCAAGCTTGGCTAAGAACTACAAGAAACCAATTAGAAGCTAGATTTCTAAATGACATTCAATGACCTCTAAAAAGATAAAATAGAGTAACTGGAGCTAGATATTGTAAAGAAAACTTAGCAGCTTGAGCAATTTTTCAATGAGATGGAATAACTCAATGAGGAAATGAATAAAGTAAGAGAGGAGAAAATCAAATTTTAGAGTAAGTGTGAACGATTAAAGACTAAGTTAGACGACTTTAATCAAATCAACGATGAATTAAATATGCAACTTGAATAAAAACAGTAACTCATGGATTAATAAAGAGAGATGTTTGAAATGCAATCACCTATTTTTGCTAATAGGCATATGCTTGGCCCAGGTCATTTAAAGCATCATAGTGAATCATCAGATCCTACCTAAGTTGAGTATATTGAAGATGAGAATGATTTATTTTCAAACAAAAGCATGGTTAGTAGGAAAAAGCATAGTAAGATGCCTTCCTCTAGTATATTTTTCCCATACGGAAGCAACAAGGACAAATCTAAGTATTAATTTATGGAGTTCAACCTAGGAAAGAAAAAAGAGAGACAATAAAGAGTGCATCCAAGTCAACTGGCATTTGATAAATTCAAGAAAAGTGGAAAGATTAAGAATATAATGGCTAAAACTTCGCTGCTTAAAACTATTACATAGACATATTTGGATTTGATTGAACTCAAAAAAACAGCTAGAATGCCACCTCTATGTCCTTATGTCTATGATCAGATGATGCATAAATATGGTATCAAGAAAATAGGTCTGGATAAATTCATCTAACTACTTGGGACAACTGTAAAAATGGCAAGCACATCAACTAGAATATCAATATTTGGAAGACTTTTGCGTGTGGTCAAGCCTCCATTTGATGCAAACGATATCAAGACTTATATTGAGATTACTACTTATCTATAAAATCTCAACATTGGAGTCAAGATTGATAACTAAGAGGGTGATGAATAGCATTTCACTCCTTTTGTAAGGGCATATGAATGCTTAAGATTTAATTTTGAGACTAAAGTTCCTATCGATGAGTGGACTGAAATAAAGAAGAAATTAGAAAGCATGAAAAGGCAAGACCCTAAGGGAGTAAATAAACAAGGTATAATAGAGATTGATGAATTTACCGAGATGGTCCTGCTTTAGTATCATAGATTGGAGATATTAGCTGCTGAGAAAGTTCATTAGCTGTTTTTGGCAACAGATTTTAACAATAACTCATTCATATCCTGTGATGAGTTCTTGACTGTTTACAGAAATGTTGTTTAGAGTAATTTAGGGAGAGAGTATGGAACTCTAATCTTTTAGGATTATATGGAAGAAGTATAAGACAAAGAGAATAATTGTTCATTATTTGGTGTATCTTTTGACTCATTCTTAAAACTAGCTCTTGAACTTGATATTCTTAAAGTAAAGGATCAGAGCATATTCCTACAACCTCTGAACATTGATAAATAATTTGGAGACTTGATGCAGTAGCTTTGGAAGAAGGAGAAATAATGGAAGTAAAAGTTAGCTTATCTTAAACTAGATAAAAATACCAGCGAGTGGTTTGATAATATTGACATGCTATAAAAGTAAATGAAGGATGACTCTCTCCCAAAAAGAGTTCTATTACTAAGAGCTAAGCTAATTGATGAAGAATTAACCTAAATGGTTGTTGATTCTTATGTTGAGGAATACTTTAGCTTTGATTTGAATACATTTGTTAGAGTAGGAGTAGATGATGCTTATACTAGAGATTATAGTGAAAGGAACATACTGACGAAGGAATAGATTTAAGAAAAGAAGAAGCAAGCTGGCTTATAAGTACCTTCAATAAAGAGAGATGATATAGCAGTTAGCATATTAGAACAAGATGAAGAAATTTTAGAGAGTGGAGGTAACTCTCCTACAGTGGTAAAAAAGAAAAAGAAAGGTAAAAAATCAAAGAAAAATGCTGCTCTTTAATTGGAAAAATCCGCTATTGCCTCATGAATATTGATTTTTTTGATTATTCTTTTAAAATCTTCAAAATTGATAATGATGCAAGGGGTTTTGGGGTTTTGGGGTTTTGGGG